GAACCTGATTGAACTGAACCTGAACCTGAACTTGACCAAAGTTCAGTTCAGTTCAGGTTCATAGGAACACTACCTTGCGTAGCTTACACTTTACAATTATCTGTACATGAAGGTCTAAAACAATGCAAACATATATATAGATGAATTAAAAGTTTGCAGTTGTTTTTTAAATCACCAAAACAAGCACAAAGGTTAAGAGAAGTACAACATGATAATAATCAAGCTAAAAATAATAAAAGTATTGAAGCGCCAATAAGTTCTTTAGATGTCTTGCTTGACACCAAAACCAGATGGAATTCTATCTTCTTAGCATGGAAGCAACTTCTTGAATTACACAATTCTATACGCTTGGTTTCGTCATCGTTGTTAATAAAACAGGATTGTGCATCTCAAAAAGAAGGTAGAAAGTTAGACAAATTATATCTAACATCTGAAGAAAAAGCATAAATATCTTATCAAATTAGAGAATTAGCTTCATATTTATGAATTATCTAGCATGTTATAATAATTCATGTTATGAATAATAGTAAAATCAGATGATAGTGAAATTTGGATCTATTTTATATATAGTTTTTAAAATTTTTTGGAGCCTTTTTTGTTAGCTTTTTTTTTTATAGCTAAGTTAGGATTTAGGGTTAGAGTTATTAGTAAAAGAGTATAGGTGAATTTTGGTAAAGCTTATATTTTCAAATCGAGACTTCTAAATTTCACCATCATTCGATTTCATAATCATTTGTGACAATTCATAAGTATGATGTTACCATCTAAGTTTGGGTGAGAATCAGATAGTATAAGTGCCAAAATAGATCAACGTTGGGTCAGAAGTTTTACAGCTTTAAGTTTTAAAAAACCTAAAAGTTTGAACCCAATACATAAAATTGTTATCCATAAAATTTAATATCAGGTAAAAATGATTTAAAATGCGATCTTAAGAATCATAATTAGTTGATTGATTTAAAACTGTATTTAAATGGTTTAATACATTCTGACTTATTATAATAATCTTATCTATTTATAATTTTATTACATATAATGTAGATTTTCTTAAAACTATGCATCGTAGAAAGCCTTTACTGTATTACAGAACCTGGTTAATGCTAAATTAACAGTTAGAAGCAGCAAATCTTTTTTTAACTAAATTCTTCTCAGCATCAATGTTTTAAAGTGTTTAAGAACTCTAAAAAACCGGTTAAACTGTTTTTTTTTTTATTCCTAACGTCAGGTACTGTATTATACTATATTTAGCACAAGAGTAGTTTAGTCATATCTTTAACTAATCTAATGTTCTATTCATTATTTTTTTTTTTGTCTATAACAATTTTCTTGAAATATTTATTATCCAGGTTTAAACTCTTAGAATGTTATTAAAGTTCCCAAATATACTATTGAACTTTGACTCGGAAATTTGGGATTCTCTGTATAAGCGATGGAACTACAAATACTAAAATTCAATTGTCATATATAGTGATCTATTAAAAAAAAATTAAATTTATTGAATGTGACAATTAAGGATCATCTATTTTTAGTATTGTTACTCCTATCGCCAGGCAAAAATATTTTTTGAACAGTTTTTAGTTATATAAAAGCTGTCCAAAACTATAAAGCCAGCAATACTAATTTAGAGTGTTTTCAAGTTGTATTTATATATCTTGATCACCCTTAGTAAATTTAAACATAACTAAATCGTATTTTAAAATTTAATTCAATTATTTACTTTTTAAAAAATTTTTATTTTATATACAGTTTTGTTGAAGAAATGATCCAACTATTAGAACCATTTGAAGCTTTAACACGATGATTATCAGGTGTCAAATATCCAACACTTAACCTAATACATCCATATATATATATGTTAAAACAAATGTTTGCTCCAAAAATTGAGCAAAATAAAACTGTTGATAGTTATATAGATCTTATCTATGGCTCTTTAATACAAGATAATATTTTAAAAAGTGCTAAAGATAATAATGATTTAAGTTCTACAAGTGATAATAATGATGCTCCAACTGCTGGAAATCGATAACATTTAAGATGTGTCTACCAACAATTTAAGCAACAAATAAAATATACATGAAGACGAGGTAGAGGTCGAGGTAAAGACTAAATTTTTTAGTTGGCTAATCAGTCAAATATAGTTTTCAGCTAACTAAAAATTAGCTAATTGTTAATAAAAGATATGGTTAATCAAATTATCGATTATATATATGCTACTAAGAGAAAATATTTTAAACTTATCTATTTTTATCCTTAGGTCGGGGTCGAGGTTAAGGTCGAAATCATAATAGAACTAAAAAAAATGAAAGTGCAAATGTAGATGTTAATCAAATTAAATGTTTACCACTAGCAAGCACAGAAAATCTTATCCAAATAGTCCATATAGCTATATATCTTTCTTTAGATAAACTATGAGAAATACCAAACGAAATATCTTTAATTGCGATAATTTTAGATCCTCGAATAAAAAATTTCTCTTTTGCAAATAGTTTTAACCGCGTACAACAACAAATACAAGCTAAGTCTCTTTTAAAAGACTTATATACTCAACTTAAACAAGATTTGGCAATTGGCAAAAATGTTGAAGATTATGTAGCAAATTTAAAAAATGTTAGTACTGAAGATATATTTGCAAAAATGTGGAGTAATAATCAAACACAAGAAGAAGACAAAGTTATCCGTTATTTATGCTATTCTAACGAATCAAAAAATATTGATCTTTTGATTTAGTGGAAAGGGCATCAGGTAAGTTATCCCTTGTTATTATAATTAGCATATAAGTATTTTTCAATACCTGCTATATCCGTTTCTAGTGAACGACTCTTCTCTGATACTAGCAACCATATTTTAGCAAGAAGAACACGATTAGCATCTAGCTTAGTTAATAGTATCTTATTCTTAAAACGTACCGTATATTCCCGAAAATAAGCTACTATTTTTGGGCAAAAAATTATACAAAAATTTCAGGAGTAGCTTATTTTCGAGTAATAGAGGTTTTTAACCATTTTTTA